CCTTTGACTGAGCCAGCCGGGCGCCCCAAGAGAGATCATACAGTATTTGTCTTTCTCTGACTTACTTTGCTTAGCACAATGCCCTCAAGTTCCATCCATGTTCTCACAAATGGCAAGATTTCATTAAAAAGAAAAAAAAAAGCTGAGTAATATTCCGATGTATATACCACAATTTCCTTATCCATGCACCCATCCCTGGACACATCCATCCCTGGACACTTAGGTTGTTTCCATATCCTGGCTGTCCTAAATAATGCTGCAGTGAACATGGGGCCACATACATCCTTGTCAGTGTTTTTTTTTTCCTTTGGATAAATACCCAGAAGTGGAATTGCAGGATCATGTACTTCTCTTTTTAGTTTTTTGAGGAATGTCATACTGTTTTCCACAGTGGCTGCACCATTTTACTTTCCCACCAACAGTGTATGAGGGCTCCCTTTTCTCCACATCTTCATCAACACTTGTTATTTCTTGTCTTTTTGATAATAGCCATTCTAACTGGTGTGAGGGGATGTCTCCCTTTACTGTAACATAGGCTTATAAGGGCAGAGATCTTACCTTGTTCCCTGCTGTGTCCTCAGGACCTAGAACAGGGGCTTGGAACTGAAGGGGAGGAAAAATTATTACTGTACCCTTCGTGGTCTTACAGTTGGAATAAGAATCAAATTTACTGGAGACAGATTAACAGGAGAAAAGACCAGAGGGAAGCCCAATAATGAACTTAAGACCTAAAGAAATGACCAAAGCAGGTGGTTTTTATACTTTTCAGACAAAGAGACAATAAATCTGTGAGGATTTGACAGGACAAAGAAAACTTAACTTTGGGAGGTTCAGTTAGTAAGGAATTCTAAACAGAATTTGGGCTGGGGTGGTAAACTAGTAAACAGTAACACGGGGTGTTTATACAGCCTTCTGGGCTCTAAATTTCCTATCTCTGGTGATAAAGATGTCTCCTTACCTCCTGGTACAGGGAGGGTACCTTTCACACGGGAGATTTATTTCCTGCTTTTAGGGGGACACAGAGGAGGTCTCAGTATCCTTCTTGCACCAGCTGTCTTTTAAGTAACTTTTATTTAAAATAATCAGTATGCCATAGTGGTACATTTTGGGGCAGCCTGCTCTTGTCTCCTATAGCACATAGCATGTGTTTAATAAATACTTGTTGAACAAATCAATAAGAAGAAATAGGTAAAAAGTCCTTGGCATCACAGAACTTAGTCTCACAGAATTAAAGTGGTTTGAGGGACGCCTGGGTGACTCAGTTAAGTGTCTGCCTTGGGCTCAGGTCATGATCCGTCCCCCATCGGGCTCCTTGCTCAGCGGGGAGCCTGCTTCTCCCTCTGCCTGCTGCCCCCACTGCTTGTGCATGTGCTCTCTCTGACAAAAGAAAAAAAAGGAAAAAAAAGTAGTTCGAAACATAAAGAATGGGATGTACCCTGAGGTGAGATCTTCATCAGGCAGTCCAGTAAATAGGCATATAATGTGATCTACCTATGTAATGTTTTCTAATAGCCACATTAAAAAAGTAAAAGACAGGTGAAACTAATATTAATAACGTATTTTATTTAAACCAGTATATCCAAAATATTAACATCTAATCAATAGAAAAATTAATGAAGTATCTTACATTCTTTTTTTATACTAAATCTCTGAAAGCTGATGTTTCTACTTACTGCATATCTCAATTCAGATATTAAATTTTCATTGAAAATACTTTATTGAGATTATACAAAATTTAAAATGTTAAAAGTAGATTCACATACCCAAATTACACCAAACATAAAGGTTTTCCAATAACTGAATTATGTTTTAAAATTTAATTAAAATTAAATTAAAAAATGTAGTTTCTTAGTTGCATAGCCACATGTACCTGATGGCTACTGTACTGGACAGGGCAAATCTCAGTCAAAAAATCTCTGTCCACGGTTGGGTCAGGGGTTAGAGGACTAGGTAGCACCACAAGTATGCCAGGGAAGGAAGAGGAAAGTTTAAAAAATGCAATGTAAGCTCTTTATGCAAGTCCCGTTTGAGGGCAGATTCCTCTGGTCTTCAGCAGTGAGGTATGGCTTCCTAAAGCCAACTAATTTTTCAGTATGATTGCTCTTTAGAGCTTAGGTACTCTGGGAATCATTTTTTGGGGGTAGAAAGAGGGTCTAGCACTGCTGGTTGTATGCACCATCTCTGTAGAATCTTATTGTATATGATGAGGAACAGTCATGGAAATTAGATTATTTTCCTATAGATCAGTTCTCAACTGAGGGTGATTTTGCCCTTCGAGGGGGCATTTGCTCCCCCATCTTAAAAATGCTTGCTTGTCGGGCGCCTGGGTGGCTCAGTGGTTAAGCGACTGCCTTCGGCTCAGGTCATGATCCTGGAGTCCCGGGATCGAGTCCCGCATCGGGCTCCCTGCTCAGCGGGGAGTCTGCTTCTCCCTCTGACCCTCCCCCCTCTCATGCTCTCTCTATCTCATTCTCTCTCTCAAATAAATAAATAAAATCTTTAAAAAAAAAGGCTTGCTTGTCACAAGTAGGAGGTGTGGTAGCATCCAGTGGCTGGAAGCTGGGAATACCCCTGAACGCCCTACACTGCAGGGGGCAGGGCACTACAAGGAACTGTCTGGCTGAAAATGTCAGCAGAACCAAGATGGAGAAACCTTGCTCTAGAGGATTTGAGGAAGAAAGACTGAGCAAGCTGTCCCTTCAGAACCTCAATATGACTCCCTTGTGGGATCAGTTAGGGGAGAAGAGCTTGTTTTGTTGAAGTATGTCAAGGTTTCTAGTTGGTTTTCACTGTTGATGGACTTTTTGATTATAAACAAATAATGTCATGCTCAGGATGAGAATGGAGACCTGTTGGATAAAGATAGATAATACATGCTGTGCTCCTAAGATTCAGTGTACCTTGGGATAAGGAGCTCATCTGTTCTTCTTATGACTTACATCCATCCTATGACCCAGGCTCAAACATGATTGATGCCAGTATTAGATTACTCGTCACTCTCTTCTCTTTCCCTATCACCATCTCTTGTTTTATCTTTGTTCTTTTCTTGGTACCCTTGTTCCTTTTTATTTTCTCCCTTCCTCCCTTTCCCCTGATCTTATTCCCTGCCCCTCACCAGTGCCCATACATACCTCCTGTAGCCCCTCCTCTCCCAGCGCCTAATCTGTTTCCTCCCTTCAAAGCTGTTGGTTCCTCATTCAGAATCACCAGTTCACCACCATCCCCCATCAATGTCTAAGAGAGCTGCCCCCTCTACTCCGTTTAGGTGCCTCTTACAATCACAGCTGTCTTGTTAGTTCACAAAAACTCAAAACTACAACTTCTTGCCTCCTTCAAAAAAGAAAAAAAAAATCGTCTCTCCAAAAAGATGGAGGAGAAATGCATATGCCTCTGACACAACTGTTTGAGAAACGGGGTTCTTTTAGAGCAGGTGCTGTGTGCTGAGGATGGCTCTCTGCTAGAACCAAGCGGTTGTAGCTATGGTTACGGCGTCTAACGTATTACGTCTTCTTTTCCAATAATTGTGGCTGTGCACGGGCACCCTCCCCAGTTCTTTCCTTGGGTTTCTACACACTTACTGGACAACACCTGCTTCTTCCTGGTACCAGCAACAACTCAGATCTTTAACCTCATGCCTCCTTTGCCTTATGCCTGCACTTATCCCAGGTTTCTCTTGCCTGCAGCACTCCAGGCTGTCTCTGGCCGCATGTATTTCTGTCCCTCCCTCTGTTATCAGATGGTGGACACTGTGGTGGCAATTTAGAATCAACACCAAACCTAAAAAAGGGTAGCATGGTCTGTCTCAGTGCTGCAGACTAGCCTTTGAAGGTATACAACTCGAAGACTAGAATGATTCTTTGTACTTAACAGGTATTCAAAACTATCTGAGTAGAATGTTATAGCATATAGAAGATGATAAAGGAAAATCAGTCTGTCATGTTTTTACCAATTTTAGGAAACCTAATCTTGTGGTAGCCAAAATCATCTTTCTTACCATTGCAGAAGCCTCTCTAAATTCAAGACGGGATCATATCAGAAGTATGAGCTTTTCTTTTACAGAGACTGCCAGCAGCTTCTACGCTTGTTTCTCAGCAAGACAAAAAAGGTAAAGGGGGAAAAGCTATCACTCAGCATCTAGCTTTATTTTTAAAACAAGGATGTTTCTAATACTAAAGATTTTTAATACTTTACTTTTCTCTTCATGACCATTAAAAAATCCTTTGTTTCAAATGCTTTGAAATATTGCTCAGATAATTATGTCATAAAAACAAGTAGGAGTATGAGACTTGATGTTTTAAAATTTTCTACAGTTGATGTAGACAATCAAAATAAACTTACATTTTCTTTTAAAAAGCAGCATTACGTTCAAAAGACATAAAAGTTCAGTTTATGGTGTTGCAAGGAGTGATATAAGATTCATCTTCCAACAGTAGTAACGACACAGAAAGCACTGTGGTGGTTTAACTACTCGGTCACAATACAGAAGCCAGTGTGTGTAATTCCTGTCTTCAGGAAGAGATTAGATCCCTTCCTGCTTGTCCTGGGGATGGCTATTCCTAGAACCAGTGATTCATGGTGGTTTGATGGTGGTGTACATTTGAATGTGCTGGGCCTCTGGTCACAATATCTGTCATGTTATAGTATTCTCAAACTAGGGATGTGAAACTGTTGCAAGCACATGGACTGCTAATGCATTTCCAAGCCAAACAAAAAAATTGGACTGTTTATTATCTTAAAACTCCTGAGAGTCCCAGTTTCTTATCAGCATATGTATCTGATGGAATGCTACTTTGTAAAGGTAGTTACACTCTTGTTTTAGAGATGAGGTAGTAATTTAAGCTTTTTTTTTTTTAAGATTTTATTTACTTATTTATTTGAGAGAGAGAGAGAGAGAGAAACAGCATGAGAGGGGATAGGGTCAGAGGGAGAAGCAGGCTCCCCGCCGAGCCGGGAGCCCGATGCGGGACTCGATCCCGGGACTCCAGGATCATGACCTGAGCCGAAGGCAGTCGCTTAACCAACTGAGCCTCCCAGGCGCCCAGTAATTTAAGCTTTTAATTTAGATTATGTTACTGTATTTACTTTAATAATCTTCAGTCTTCCAATTATAATATACTCCTTTTTTAAGGCTGAAAAGTGCCATAAAGTTATTACTAAATTCCTTTCTTAGAGTGTTTGTATTTTATCTCCTGTTGCTACTACAGTCTCCTCAGGTGTCTCTTTTACTACCTTCCCGAACTCAGAATCACACAGAATATACGCTGGAAGACATGTTACTGGTGATTGATTAGGACAGCAGCATCCTGTCCACCATGATAAAAACGATCTGTGTCTATGCTGTCCAGTTCAGTAGCTGCTAGCCGCATGTGGTTAAGAAACAGAATTCTCTACTTTGAGTGTATTAATTTTAAATTTATACAGCCATATGTGGGCACTGGCTACTTCATTGGACAGTGCAGTTCTGGACCAATCCCTCCCCACGTCTCTCGGTTTCCAGGAACCTGAGACTCAGAAGAGGAGTGATTTATCCTCATTACGGTCATCCCTCTTCGCAGTAGCTCCTACTCATCACTTACTGCTTTCCTTCCCACTTGAATGTTTTCCTTACCCTGCTTCTTTTTTGGTAGTTTCCTCTTTTTTAGCATTGGCAAACAAATTCCACAAAATGATTATACATTATAATGGCCATTATATCAGTAGTGATGGAAAATAAATACTTAGTATTGTTTTAGTTATTAATTTCAAAAGCAGCTCTAACTTAATACAACATACCTGGTGGGTCTCTACTGTGTCCTCTACAGAAGGGGGAAATGAAGGCAGAGAAAAATGTGACTGTTTTGCCTAATGTCATACACAGAATAGTCAAGTAAAAAGGAAAGCTGAGAAGTAGAATTCACTATCTTTCAACCAAGAAACATGGTTATTTTGGGCTGCAAGGGAGCAATCTGTTAACAGACAAGGCTTTCTGAAATAACCTTAATGCTTCCTAAGAAACTGAACTAATTTAGAAATAAAAGGAAATTTTCTCAGGTAGATTCTCTGGTGCCAGAGAAATGTTCAATGATGACTGAAGCTTTGTCTATATTCAGGATACTCACAGTCCCTAAGGCAGATTCTCTGATAATGAAGGAGAGCTGAGTAGCTAAAAACCTCTGTTATTTCACCATCTTAGTAAAGCTTATTTGCTGTATGAATTCTTTGATGTCTGATCAGGGCTGAACTTACACGGAAGGGCCTCCCACACTCATCACATTCATAGGGTTTTTCACCTGTGTGGATTCTCTGATGCTGAATAAGACCTGTGCGCCCACTAAAATCTTTCCCACATTCTTCACATTTATAGGGTTTCACTCCAGTGTGCACTCTGTGGTGTCCAATGAGATGGGAACGTTGAATGAAGGCTTTTCCACATTCATCGCATTTGTAGGGTTTCTCTCCAGTGTGAGTCCTTCTGTGCTTACTAAGGTCTGAGCTGTGACTGAAACTTTTCCCACAGTCCTCACATGCATAGCGTCTTCTTTCCCTCTGCTGCCACTCTAATCTGCCCTCACTTTCAATAGCATCTTTGGATTCAGGATGTTGAGGAATGTCTTTGTTAAGTCTGTCATTTATCTTCCCAAGGAATTCTGTGTCCTTGGGCAAATCTTCCTTCTGGGACAATGCTTCATTCTTAGTTATGGTTTTATCACCTGTAACAAAGAGTACACAAACATGTCCTAGTCTAGGTTTGAGAAGCCAAGCCTATGAAAGAACGAACACGTAAATGTTATAAATGTGTTATAAAAAACAAAGTCACATACAATGTACAAACTAGATTATTTGGCATTGTCAAAACGTATATTGACAACATAAGGAAGAGATTAAGAGGCCAGTAGGGAAGACAGCAGCAGAAAAATTATTTGGGAACAGATTAAGAAGAGGGGAAAAGGCACTGATGTGGATCAGGGAGTTGCCTGGCAATCCTGTGCAAAGGCAGAGTGGTGAGTGGTAAATGAGGACTAGAGATATGCTGAGGATAATTAAGAGGGACAGACGGGGATCGAAGAACAGAAATGGGGAGGGAGGTAAAAGTTTGGGAGAAACATGCAGGGGCCTAAAACACAGGTAGTTAAGTGGGAGTAAAACTGAGTAAAAGTGGAGAAGACAGTGGGGTTAGGGATATGAGAGGAATGTAGTGATTAGGAACCATCAAAGGAGGGGAATGTGTGAAGGATAATTAATTAATTAAAAGCAGACTGAGAACATGTAGGTCAGGATCAATCCAGGAAGATTAGTAGGAAGTGACAATGGTCTGGTGTATGTGGTGGGTTGAATCCTTTTTTCTGAAACTATCATCTCTTCCTGTCCAAATCCTAGCATGGTGGTTCTCAAACTTGATTGTACATCAGAATCAACTTGGATGACTTATTAAAACAGAATGTCAGGCTTCCTGACCCCAGAACTTCTATTTGATAAAGTTGGAATAGAGCTTAAGATTTTGCATTTCTGGGGCGCCTGGGTGGCTCAGTCGTTAAGCATCTGCCTTCAGCTCGGGTCATGATTCCAGGGTCCTGGGATTGGGCCCCACATCGGGCTCCCCACTCAGCGGGAAACCTGCTTCTCCCTCTCCCACTCCCCCTGCTTGTGTTCCCTCTCTCGCTGTGTCTCTCTCTGTCAAATAAATAAATAAAATCTTAAAAAATTTTTTTTTTGCATTTCTAACAAGTTTCCTGATCTGATAGATACTACTGGTCCAGGAACCACACTATTATTAGCTATTATTCAAGGTCCATCTCAAATGCTCTCTCCTCCAGGAAGTCTTCCCTAATTTCCCAAATTGGATGTGTTCTCTCCTTCTTCCTGCTCCCCATGTCCTCAACCCCAAGCTTAGTACAGAATAGCACATAATGGCAAGTACTCAATATTTGTTGAGATGAATTTTATAGAAAATAGCTGTTTTGATGATTTGGAGGGAATAGAAAGTCACCTAGTTGGTCTTGCTGTGACCACCATCTCAACAAACCTAGGAATCCTCACTGTGCAACAGTCATTTAATTACGGTTTTCAATGGTCACCTGGCATGACAGAAGCAGCAGCAAGAGCTACCCGGACATTTCAGTGCCTGGGCTGGGGGTGGAAAACACTGGCTCACATGGCTGAGTGCCATGCCGTGAAGTCCACTCTTCACTGTCATCACCATGTCCCCTTGCTACCATTCTTCCTCAAATCAGTTCCTCCTTAACGATTTTTTTTAATTTAAAAAAATTTATTATTATTATTATTTTATTTATTATTTTTTTAAATCAGGCAGTAGACTTTCTCAAAGTTGGAATATTTCCTCTAAGATGATATTGTTTTGGAACCTAATTGCTGTATTATCTTTGGCTAGAAATGACAAGGACTAAATTAGAGCCAGGGCGGTCTAGATTCCAGTCTTGGAACTGTCTGATAACTGCTTAAATTTTGGCAGAGCACCACTATTTTGGTTTCCTTATCACCTCTGTGCCCTTCTCTTTACCTATAGTTTGATTAGATGAGGGAATGTATGATAAAGCATTTGTAAAAGTATAATGTGTGACAGAAGTATTGCTAAGTTAGTAGGGTAATAATGATCAAGCAAATCATGGAAATCAGAGACACCCCCACACCATTAAGAAAAGTGTTCTCAAACATCAGCATATTGGCTCAACCACTTCTTTTATATACAGCTGTCACCACTGGTTGGCTTTCCTGTGGCTTACTGATGAAGATGAATTAAAAAAAGACAAAACTAAGTGGTCAGTCCACCATCTTCAGTGTAATCTACCAGTCCTCAGGATGAGTCTCTCTCCCACAACTTCAGGAGAAATCTAGAGAAAAATCTCACCAGAACTTCAAAAGGCTTTTTTTTTTTTTAAATACAAAGTTGGTTTTTCTTGGTCAGCAATTGAAATGATAACTCTCTCCCTTCGATCTGCAACTGAACAGGGTACAGAATAATATTGTATGAAAATTGTCGTATGTGAACTTTTCTCATCTCAAGGACCTGTAGTCTATTTCTTGGTCAACTGGAGTTTCAGGGCCTTGTTTATGTATCTCTTCCAAGTGCTAGCCAGTCCCAGGCCAATAGGATTGCCAGAGGCCTTCTTTCAGAGATTTACTTATTTATTTGAGAGAGAGTGCGAGCTAGCGAGAGCATGAGTGGGAGGAGGGGCAGAATCTCAAGCAGACTCCCCACTAAACATGGAGCCTGACGCAGGGCTTGATCTTATGACCCTGAATTCATGACTTGAACCGAAATCAAGAGTCAGACGCTTAACTGACTGAACTACCCAGGCACACCAAGAGACCTTCTTTTAGAACAGACAAAATGAAAAATATTTGGATCTAACACCTTCTGCCAGGGCTGACCTTCCAATGTTATTTTGGCATATGTAATACCAAGAGTCCTTATCAGTTACAATTCGAGATAAGTCCAACCCTGCTGGTCACTGAGATGAGGACAAGTAAAGATCATCTGATTACCATGTGTACAACTTGCTTGACAGTCTAGGGGAGCAAGGACAAGGTTAAATGCCGAGTGCAGTGAAACTGGGAGTTAAAGAAACTGTCATTTATCTGCTAATGGAGAGTCAGTGTTGTGGGTTAATAGCATGTCCAAAAAGTTCACTTTGAAATACTTTAAAATGTGCTACAAAGAATTGCAATCCAAGTTCTTCTGTAATCTACGAAGATAATTCTGTATTAAATGATTAATGCTATTGTAATTCCCAGTTATGTTTACAGAGAGGAGTCCTATTATGCTAGCCAACAGCTAATACAAATAATAATACCTTGCTGGTATGGATACTATAATTTTTTTTTAAAAGATTTTATTTATTTGACAGAGCGAGCCCGGAAGGGGCTCGATCCCAGGGCCCTGGGATAATGACCTGGGCTGAAGGCAGACACTCAATCAACTGAGCCACCCAGGCGCCCCACAATGAATTTTTTAAAATAAGAAATAGTGCATAAAAAGTCTATTTAACAATAAATTTACATTTTGAGAGATAGTGACTTTTTGGTACATTATCCTGATGGCTTTTAACAGTTGTTCTGGACCAGCGGGCAGGAGCCCCAGGTTCTGACTGTAATCTCAACTCTGCCTCTTACTTTTTGGAAACTTAGACAAGTCACAACCACTGTGGGTATATTTCCTCAACTGTAAAATGAGGATTTGGACCGGACATTACATGCTTTTAATAAAGTTGAAAGGCACGTCTTGAAATGTGTTGTGATTTCTGCAGAGTTTTATTTTGTTTTTGTATTGTTTTGGTGGGTTTTGTTTTTTGCTTGTCAGTTGTTTTGGTGGGGAGTGTGGTGGCGGTGACACAGATAAAAACTGTGCATGGCTCTTGGTGCTGTTCCTTAGAAACAAAGTCCTATTCGTGCTGTTCAAAAAGGGATTCCCTAAAAATTCTCAGGCCTCATAGGATAGCTAGATTTCATGAAGCACCTTTCAGCGTATTAGATTAAGAAAAGACAGTTCATACTTTTCCTTGAAAAGTTATTTTAATAGCAACACATGTGTAACCCTCTACAATTTTAGGTATAGGAACTGTGTATTTTTCGGAATTTATAACATGAAGTAGAGTGAACTAGTCCAGAAATATCTATTAAAAAAAACAAGGAAGACCATTTAGAACTTAAGAGTTTTGCACAGACTATCCATCAGTCATAATAATTCTGTATTCTACATAGAATTTAGCATGTTGACATGTTAAAATATTACTGTGACCTATTTTATGACTCACTGCTTGTCCTGTCTCCTCCCAAAGGCAGTGAGAGAAATTTCTTATAATATGCCTGCTCACAGAAAAAAGGTGAAGACCCCACATAGTTAAGCTTACTAAAGCTTATTAAAGTAGCCTACGTCTTTTAGCTTCTGCCTTCTGAAACTATTCTTGACTACCACTAACTTCTAAATGCCAAATTCAGTAAGTGGACACTTACCAGTTCTTAGCCTGTGTCCCATTAGTAGCATTGGCTATAGCTGGCTGAAGCTCCTGGTATCTTTAGTGACACTACCCTCTTCTGCTTCTTACTCCTCTGATACTCCCTGATGTGTCTTCTTTGTAGAATCCTCTTCCTCCACCCAAACTTCAAATGGTGGCATGCCTCAAAAATTTGCATGTGCCTCTCTTCTCCTCACTTTATACATTCTTCTTGGTCAACTTCGTCTACAGCCATGGCTTCTATCATCTGCCCAGGGACGATTCGCAAATCTCTTATCTCCTCCCACATCTTTCTCCTACATCTAGAACCATATTTTAAACTGTACTGCCTACTGGATGGATGTTTCAGAGGTACAGCAAATTCACATGTATAAGAATTGAATCCATTCTAAGTTTCCACACATAAGATACTCCCACCTTCTGATTTTCCTCTCAATTACTTACACCATTATCTGCAAGTCACCCAAGTCACCAACTTGGATTTTATTAAAACACCCCCAACCACCAATGTCTAATCAGACCTGTTCATTAATAAATGAATAATAAGTATCTCTTGAATTTTCTCCTTCCTCTCTCTCCAGCCTTATTTGGGCACTGGTCTAAAATCTTCTATATTTGAAAGTGGTCTCCCCTCACCCCCCTTGTGTTTTATCTTTTCTCCCTATTTATAGTGGTGTGCTCATTCACTTATAGACTTTGGAAAAGAGAGTAGAATAAGTCATCTGTGACTTCATTGCCTTCAAATAATCTTTGTCTACATTTGG